AACATTCTCTAACTTTTCATGTATAGACTCGTTAGATATGTAGAGGAAAACTATTGCGTGAAGTAGTCAAGATAGAAACTTGAAATTTTACGAAAATGTTCCTTTGGTCATCTGCAAACAGTTCTACTTTGTGAAGTAGAATAGGAAAACCGATAAGCCAAAATCTCCTTGGACGAATAAATAATTCTCACTTTTCAAAAAAAGTTTTTTCGTAAACTTTTTTCCTACATGAATTGCAAGAAAACATAGTGCTTGAGCAATGGTTTTCATCGACAAGTCAGAATAAAATAGAAGAAAAATCAGGACACTTGCAATTGCTTTTAGCAATGCTGTTCGTTGGTGTTGCTGGACTCAACCCTACGGTGGCGTCATCACGTCTGCAGGGCTGTGAAGGTCTGAATACAGCGTGGTTCATTCTCACCTACTGGATTTGTCCTATGGTGGGATGGATGCTATCGGCTTTCGTCGATGATCATATGATGTCTGCTCCTGAAAAGAAGATAAAGTGATACGAAACCGAGTCAGTAATAGTTTTTGCAGACTGCTGCTGTGAAAGTGAATTTCGCACCATTAAGCTCTGCTTATTAGCTTGGGAGGCGGAAGATGTAAGTACAGATGAAATCGTGTCTGTTTTTTTTACCGCTTACTGTGATATTTGCTCGTTTTCTAGCAGCTATTTGTGGTAATTCACTCTTTCATCTGTTTCACTGCTCTTTTTATCAAGTGCTCGCAACTTTATCGAATTTTGCCCAGTTTGGTATGTCATTCCATGCGTTTTAATTAGAGAGAGTACAAATTACTGAAATTTTTTCAAGCATTTCGGTAGCAAGCAACATACTTGCATGGTTTCATTTGATGTCAAATACAGTGAAAACTATTGTATATCATTGTTAAAAATTTCATTAATTTTTACACATAGAGATCTCAGCTTGCCAAATAACCGAAAATTTATAAAATAATTCCAAGGAATTTTATAACAGTGAATAAGTGGCAGTGAAAATTCCCTCCTTATTCACTTCGTCTACGAAGTCGGAGGTACTTGGAAGTGGTCGGAATGGTAGCATATGTCAAAAGCAGCAAAAAAAAAATATTTTTTTTTGAAATCCTTCCCTACTTAAGCATTTTACCCTATGTAGACTGATATCGGAGTTGTCGTTTCATCGTTGGTCATCTACTTGGTGTGGTGTTATCAATGCTTGTTAATAATGCTTTACAGCGCTGATCCTGAATCGTGGTATATTTGATATTTTTATCGCTCAGTAATGATACTTTGGTCGGCAGTTATTCCATCGTCACGCTTTTTCTCGCGGCAGATTCAACTAGCAGTTCCTTCATTTTGGGTCTCTCTCATTCTCGTAATTTCAAATAGCCGTTGGTTACCATATGCGGAACGCTTATTTGCTTAATTTGTTATCATCTCATTCGTTTTAGCCTGACGAGTTTTTTTTTTAACCTGGCGAGTTTGAATGTCTTCTAGCTTTTGTTTTGTGGACTGAGAATCAGTGAATAGTTCGGGACGACAACTGGAGTTTTACTTAACTCATTAGGAATAATGGAGACACTTTCTTGATCCGATTCTGTGTGTTAGCTGGGTTATGCCCTGCATTCACGGTCCAGTGCCACTAGAGATCTTGCCATTAACTCTTAACACATTTCCAAAAAAAGTCGGCGTTGAAAAAGGGCTCACTGAGCGTACTCTCGTGAAGGACCAGAATTGCAGAGAAGGAGCTCAGTTTTGCCAGATGAACGAGAAAAAGTGGAAAATTACTAACACGCTTTTTTCCAGGTGACGTGGCTTCGCCTGCACCAATTGCG